TTGAAATTTTTACAGCAATCTTTCTGTTCTTAATTTCTAATTAAATTTCACCGAGGTCTAAGATCAAATAAGTCAGTAAATAAATAAATTAAAATTATCTGTCTTTTTAAAAAAGAATATTGGGCCAGTACTCTATTTTCTATTCTTTCAAAAGAAACTTTAAAAAAATTTAGTTTCTCTAATAATAATTTTTATAATAAAATATCCTGACTTCTACATGTGGGTTTCATTTCAGACAAATACATGAAACCCAAAGAAAATGGGTTTGTGGGGTAGATATGCCTCTTAATATGCATTTCAGCATCCAGTTTCCAACCAGCAAGGGAATGTGAGGGTCTTATTTACAGTGTAAATTTTTCACTAAACAGACAAGAATATTGTGTCCACAATATTTTAAAGGGCCCACAGAGAGCCAGACTAGATCACAGGTCATTTAAGTGCCCCTCCATTGCACAGATTTTTAAAATGTTGCTTCCAAGCTTTGACCCAAACAGGTGTATTTGAGAATGAGGATAGGCTTGAGGGTGACACGGTGTGAGACTATACTGTAGATGTGAAAACACTTACTCCTCATCTCATCGCCAAACTGAGACAGGCGTGTCCCTGTAAGGAAACATCGGTGCCAGACAATCGTCAACAGGCTGAGCTCCAGTGTTCCCAAGTGACCTCCTTACCCATGAGTCTGAGAATACACTGGAGTTCACTTACCGTCTGCAGTCTCTCCCTGGACTGTATATTCAGCTGTCAGCATGTACTTGAGGCTTGTTCTGGCCCCACCCTAAGGATGGTATGCATCTCTTAATAATTTGTAGATGACAGCAGGGAGTTTTTGTAGTTGATCCCTGACAAAGGTTATAATTTTATATAGTCTAAGGAAAAGAATCTTTTTACTCGTATACAAATCATTTGGGTATATCTCTAAGCTCATCAAGAGATTAAATCCCCCTTGGAAAATATTAAAGGATTATTGCTTGTTCTTAGGTGTGAAAACATATGTAGTTGCAATGTATAATTTTATAGAATACCCTTATTTTTCAGAAACACCTGTGAAAGTATTTAGGAGCAAAATTCATGATAGCTATAACATACTTTCAAATGAGTTAGCAAAAACATATGTGAATAAAGGTAATAGGGAAAAACAAAAAATCACCTGAGTCTAAGTGGCAAATATACTTAGTTTGAAAAATTTCACAATAACATATAGATAAAAAAATCAAAAAATAAACCAATTCCCAGATTAATATTTTCCATAAAATCCTGGGAAGCATTATCATACTGAGTTTAGAATAAGTATTTTTGCATTAGTTATACCTAGTCTAGTTCAGATCCAGACTCTAGTTAGTTGTGAGTGTAATTAAAATAATATTAACAGTGATTGTTTTTAAACATTGTAAGTGCTCACATATGGTAGCCCTATTACACTACTTCAATCTGATTTGTGAAGGGATTTATTTATTTATCTATTTATTTATTTATATATGCATATAAGAGCTGGGGTGCAGGCCAGACGTGGGGGGTTGAGAGGATTCACCAGAGACAGAGTGGGGAGCAAAACAGGCAGACCTACTGAAATACACTGCTGAGGGGAGCAGCAGGTGAGACAGGAGAGGTCTGCCTCACATTGTGGGTCACCACCCTGGCCAGGGATCCAATGTATAGCTTCATAGTGCTGACACTTAACCCCTTGTGCCACTAAGGAGGCCCCTGTGAAGGGATTTAATACTCAGTCATTATTTTTGTGCCATTTTTAAAAATCCAGAGATGCCATTATTTCCAGAAAGACATGGGAACTAATTAACATCTTCCTAAGGATCAAGCACTGTTAGTTTGATTCCTCCTCGACTGTGGTCTTAATTGAATTTCAGTTTAAGAAACATGCTCCTATAGTATCTGAGAAATAAAAATTACGAAGAAAGGCCATGAGATATGTAGATAAAACACGACTATATAATTCAATTCTCTGTGTAACCATGGAATTGCATTTCTAATCTTCATGAGCTATTTCTTTGGAAGCTGTGGGTGCTGCCCACAATTTGGAATATCTGGCATTGTTCAGCTTTGGCAGAGGAGTGAGATATAATGATGGGACACACTAATTCATGTGGATATTCTCAAGAGGGCTAGCTTTTGGGGTTTGAGGATATTAACTGCTTAGGCTCTTATACTCTGAGCTGTAATTTGAATCATTATCAAAATTTGGAGCTGAATTTGGAGGATATGCTCTGAATATGTTTCTAAATGGCTTTACCAAAGGTTTGGGAAGAAGTGTGGACTCAACCAGATTGGCAGAGCCGGACTCTGGCAAATTAAATGTCAACACTTCCAGTTCTTCTTGGCAGATGCTAAAATCCTGATGTCATACAGCAATGATGTAAGCCAGAAAGAGTGTTATTTTGCAATGGAGAGATTCTGGTAACCCTTCCCATGAGTGTGGGCTGCAGGATATCAATATTTATATCATACCACAGAGAATGTGTGATATTTTGTAATTCAGAGAAGTCAGATGGCTAACTCATTGTCTCCTGCAGAGAAGAATTGTCCTCAATAGCCAAATCTTAAATTGCTGATGTTTGGCTTGTTATTTCCTGAAGACATTTTTTCAGTTACATTTAATGAATGGAAACCTTGATGTCACAAAAATAGACATTTCAGAATTTAATGATTAGTTCTCTATTGTTCCAGGAAATATTAAAGATGAACTATGCTATAAGTCCATTGACTTCAAACATTATAAAAATATGATTTTACAAAAAATAATTTTGGGGAAAAGATACTATATCATAATCCCTTTTTTTTCACATTAACTGGCTCAAGTATTAAGATGAAATTATAAGATTTGCTTCCACCCTGATTATGCTCCAAAATGTTAACTAGTGAAGCATTTGTGAAAATTGGTGACCTAAGAATGTATTATTATATTAAAGAATTGCATATAATATTCAATTCCTGTGTCCAAGATGGATACAGGAAAGAGACAAAGTAGGGGATTGAGGAACTCCTTGCCCTGGTTTGATATAGTCAAAGATGCCAGAAACTTCTTCTTACCTATTTCTTTAGTGATCCATTCTGCGTAATGATCCATAGACTGACAACTAAAAATATAGTTCTATTATAAGTGTTCACTGGTAGGCTCTTTTTCAGAGTTTATATATATATATATATATATATATATATATATATATATGTAGAGAAGAAGATGAAAAAATTGTAGAACATCTTGCATTTATATATTTTCCCTCTTAAGTCCCACTGACATATGTAAATATTGCTAGAATTGACTCTAGGAATTACAAGATCACAAGATTATGTAACAGATCATAAACAGGTGACTTCTTATAAGCAACACTTCAAATTTCTGTAGTGTCACTGAGTGGATTTTATACTGTTAATGCTACTGTTTCATAAGTGAAAATATTTGAATCTCTACTGGGTCTCATTTTGGTTTATTTTTTGGTTTGTCAATCAATCTGGAAGTTTTAATGATCTATCTAATGTTCTAATTTCAATTACACTGTGTTCATAATTTAGAAATTTTTATGAATAGCAAAATATTTTTGACTTTTTAGGTTACCATGCATTCCCTTTCCTTTCATAAGGAGGTAGTCCTTAATTAAGCTTTATTGTTTCTTCTTGGACTCTCCCCAAGCTTTTTAACACCTTTTTGAAAGGCTCAGGAAGAGTACAGCTTTCTAGGTGCGGTCGCTAGAGTCACTGGGAGGAACCTTCACCTCCCCACTCTTTGAATGATGTAATCTTTGTATACTGTGTGAGGACATGCAGAAAGTGCTGACATGCAATTCACCTGCATGAAAGTTCTTCTGAAGGTAAAACAAGGCAAGTTAAATACCTTCTACTTAAAGGAAAGGATATTGTAAAGTTCTGTTTAGAACTAAATTAAAAGTTATAACTTAAATAAAAAGGTTTAAAAGTTATAACTTAAATAAAAAAGTTTATTACTGGATTACCATTGTAAGAGCATTCATGTTTAATTCTCTTTTAACAATCTCATGGCCAAAATAGTTTTTCTTATCTACATCACAATGAAAAATAAAAAGTACAGAATTTTGGATTGAATCTAAACAAAAATGTAGATATTATTTTATAATTTCACTTTTACTTCCTTTAAACACACAAATTCTTAAATTACTATTTCACAAAACACTATAATATACACCTAATTGATGTCCAAATGTGTATTTTGGGATTAGAGGTGGGGTTGGGATTTAGAGGTAGGACTGAAGATAATCCCACTTGTAGCACAGATACAGAAAAATTTCTCTCTTTTCTTATTGACAGATTTTTAGAGTTAGAAAGTCCTTGTAGAAATGAAATCAAAGCCCACAGAAATTAAGGGGTCTGCATAAGACTATTGGGATCACATGAAAGAAATATGATCAAGAGGGAAGACTTTAATTCCCAAGTTGTTATCACTACCTTTGTTCAATTCTCTCTCTGTGCAAATATGCTCTCAAGTATTCAGAAATGGTAAAGAAAATTTCCACATGCTGCTGACTGTTAAAAATTCCTATGTCCAATTCTTCAGTTTTATTTCAGAACCAATTGTAGAAAATTGTTAGTAGAATTCTAAGATGTTGGTGCAAATGTCTAGTCACCAGGTAATTCCATTAACATTAAGAGGAAGAAGTGCACATAAACAGTACAGGACCAGTAAATCCAACATGAAGTCTTATAATCCATGAAGAAACAGAAATGTTTTGCCCACTCCAGGCTTGATGTCTGGAAAGCTTTCAGTCAACAGTAATGCTTTAGCTTATTCCATATTTCACAGATAAAATTTGCACAGTATTGTCACAACTTAGTCATGATTTGTGCTTGAATATTCTGTTTTCTTTTCTCTTAGACTTCAGGTGCATGTTTGGCTCACTGAAGTTGCCATAGTACTGAACTCATCCTAATATTTGATAGCACATTCTTTTAGACACCATGGAAGCAGCAAATTTGGGATGAGGTCCATGGAGCTCTGGTCCACCATGCTGGCAGCAAGCACATGAAGAACCCAAGCTTGGCATTTCTTTGGCTTGCTGAAAGTTTGATAATTGTTCCCATAAAAATTCATCCCTGGTCAGAAGCATGAAACTCTTTGTAGTGAGAACAATGACCACACACCAGCAATCAACCTAAAGTAGGACTGAGAGTTTGACTCCTGTCATTGTGACTTGTTCTCTTGTCTCCCATAGCACCCTAATAACAGCAAAGTCTAAAGACCAGTGTTGGATTTCATTCCTTCATTTCATCATGACCCCAGCTTCTATTATATTCAAGTCCAGTTAGCTTGGGGCGTGTTGTTCACTCATTAGATTTCGATTTGGGGCACACTGTTACAAATGCTTCATGAAGGTTTCTTACAAGGGTCTCACAATGGGCGTCCTCCAGAACAGATGTTGTAAGGTGATTTCAACTTTAGACACCTGAAACAGAGCAGGGATTTCCATATGAATTTGACCGGTGTTTGCTCAGCATATTGAGTATTACATAAATGTGCTGTTGGTGGAGCAGCTCTCAGTGCCTCAACTTCTTACCCACAGGTGGGGCCATCTTCCAGCAGCTGTGGGTATTAACAGACTCACAGCAGCGTCCTTCACCAGAGGACTGCCCTTGGCTAGCAAGGCACTTTGCCTGAAGATTCCTAGGAGAGTCCAAGTCCCTACTAAACCCAAGATCCTTCACCTTCTTGTGATAAGTCTGCAATGCCATTCATGTTCTAGACCATTCTGTGGAATTAAGTTGATGCTAGACTTCAGCTAAAGCCTCTTTGTTTACCTTCTTCCTCTGCCCTGGCTTTCCTTACTTCATTACAGGTTTCACCTTAGAGCACTTCCTCAGCCAACATTGCACAAGAATCCTCACCTTAGGTTCTAAGTTTCTAGGAACCTGACCTCAGATAGCTATCTTGTTAATGTTAAAAGGTCTTTCATCCTTTTATCCCCCCTTCACCAGTCTTTTAGGCAACTGATATAACAATATCAATTGATATACCAGATGTAATTATTAATTATTAAGATGTAATAATTAAGCAAATAAAATTTTCCTTATTTCCCTGGTCATTTAAAAAATTGGCAAATTAGTTAATAGAATACAGTAAGGGAAATGTATTCATAGTATTTTCTTTAGTGTATTTCATTACTTTTTAACTTTTCACTAGTTACTTGCATTTAAGGGAAAATTAAATCCTTTAGTTAAGATAAGCCAGAAATAAGAATGCATACAGAAGTAATTATACTGTGGAACAAGCTTATTTTCTTAGTCTTGTAGCAATAAACAGTATCTCCTTTTATATCCTCAATTAATGTCTAGGGAGAAAATGGTCTGTGTTTATCCCATTTTCACTGATTTAATACTTCTTGATTATTAATTTAATCATTTTTACTGAGTGTTTATTATGTGCCAGGCATGGTACTAGTCACTAAATGTCTAATTGTGAACAAGATACATTCTCTATGTGTGGGGTTTACCTTCCTCCTCATTTGTAATTTTGATGGAAGCGGAAAGAAGAGGATGAAGGGAAATTGTAAATTGGAGCTATACTATTGCCAAGTGCAAGTAAATTTTTACCACCTGCCTGGGATTATGAGAAAATATGTAGGAATATGCCATATTGGTAGCCTTATTTTCACTTAAAAATTATACATGTTAATGTTTGCCATATTGTAGGGGCTCAATATGTATTTGTCAAATGAAAATGTGACTTCATATTTTGTCTTTTCATACCTCTTTCTTATATAGCAGTAAAAAATAGCAAGAAAACCACTTAATAACAATCCAACACCAATTCCAATTGCAATGTATTTTTCATAAGAGTCCACAGCATATGAAGTTAAGGTCAAGTGCTCACATCTTTCTCCAGTATAACCAGTAAAACATCTATAAAAAAATAAAAGAATGTATAATTTTAAAACTCATGATAATATAAATGCAAGGAAGTGACCAATTTCAAAGACTGAAAGATTTCAATCGAAAATAACTAAATAAAATTAAAGAGGCAACTATCAAATGTTAAAGATATTGAAGAAGCTCTGTGTTTTACCATAATAATTTCATTAAGGCCCATATTAGTATAATTTCTCTCTTTGGTAGAGGAAAAGGCAGGTAGTTCCTAGCTAGTGCATGAGTTTATCTAGAAAACTGTTCACTTCCTCTTTCATGGCAGAATGTTGAGTAAATCAATTATCATTAAAATTGTATCTTAGTTGCTCTGCAACTTTATATTTTTGGAGTGTTTTTGCCATAGTTTATTTTATCCCCTTCTCTATTTAACATTTTGAAAACATAGAATCATCTCTGCATGTTGTTAAAATGCAGATTTTGATTCAGTAGTTTTGAGGTAGCACATAAAATTATGCATTTCTAACAAGCTCTGTACAAGTTCTATAATCTCCAATTACAGAGATGTTATTGATCTGAGACCCATATTTTCAGTAGTGCGGATCAAATAGCTCAGGAAAAAAGGCCCTTAGTTATTAGAATATAAATAAGTGGTGAGTCAGATTTAGATCATGTATCCCTTATTCTAGATGAGAGAGATGTGTGTGAAAATGCACCAGGTGAAATACCAGAAGCATAAATTTACCTCCCGTTTTATAGACTTAGAAAGTTCTTTGTAATTACCTGCAGATGGCTTTCTCCAGCTCATGGTGGAATGCACAAACACCATTGATGCAGTAATTATTGTGATCTTCCAGGCAAGGATGTGAGAACTTCAAGGCTATGTGTCCTTCAATATAGTCAGCTAGGAAAAGAAAATACAATGTTAACAGATAAAGTGAGTCATGTTTTTCATGGTAGATTTACACTTTATATGTAAAGATACCTTTATTTTTTAAATTGTTGTTGGGCCTCCTTGGTGGCCCAGGTGGTTGAGTGCAGCACTGTGAAGCTGTCCATAGGCTCTGCAGTGCTGGTTCGATTCCTGGCCTGCCAGGGAGATACCCACATGGTGCAGCAGACCTCTCCTGTCTCGCCCACTGCTCCCCTTAGCAGTGTATTTCAGTCAGTTTGCCTGTTCTGTTCCCCGCTCTGTCTCTGGTGAATCCTCTCACCCTCCTGCACATCTGGCCTATACCCTGGTTCTTGTATGCATGAATAAATAAATCTTTAAAATAATTATTGTTGAAGTAAAAATGGTTTATAATAGTATGTGGGTTTCATATTCACGGCATTATAATTGGACCTCTCTATATGTTGCATTATGATCCCCACGAAAAATCTAGTTTCTGTCCACCACTAGACAATTGACTCCCATTCCCTTTCCCTTTGGTAATTACCATTCTGTTAGAATCTAAATTGTTTTGTCTGTTTGTTTAGAATATTTAAAGCAATCCCAAGGGGTGGGGCTAACAAAAATGAGGGTCTCGTGCTCCCTAACTTCAAACTATACTATAAATTCTAAAATCAAGCAAATTACAAAAGCAAATTACAAAAATTACAAAAATTAAATTAAAAAATTAATCAAAAGAGCATAATGCTAAAAAAAAGGGGGGGGACACCTAGATCAGTGGAAGGGAATTTAAAGCCCAGAAATAAGACCACATACATATAGACAGCCAAGAGCATACAACAGAAAAATGAAAGCCTCTTTAATACACGGTGTTGGGAAAGCTGGAAGTCACATGCAAAAGAATTGAGACTCACTACTATATTACAAAATGTACAACAATTAATTAAAAATGTGAATATAAGACCTAAAATTATAAAATACATAGGCATAAACAATGGCATAAGTTTTTGACATTGGTCTTCTTGTCTTTGGGAAATCATTTCTAATGGCAAAGAAACAATAACAAAAATAAACAAATAGGACTACACCAAACTAAAAACATGTGTACAGCAAAACAAACAAACAAAAACCATCATCAAAATGAAAAGAAAATACTGAATGGAAGAAAATATTTGAAAATCATATGTTAATAAGGGATTAATATCCAAAATATATTAACAACTTGCATAGCCCAACAACAAAAAGAAAACCAAACAAGCTTATTAAAAAAAGGAAAAAATATCTGAATAGATATTTTATCAAATTATCCATACATATGGCCTATAGGCACATGAAAACATGTTCATCATCTTTTATAGATAGGGAAATGCAAATAGAAACCACAAAAGGTATCAACTCACACCTGTTAGAATGGCTGTTATTGAAAGGACAAGAAACAGTAAGTATTGGTGAGGATATGGAGATAAAGAAATTCTTGTACACTGTTGATGGAGAGTAATTTGGTACAATCACTATGGAAAACATTTAGTGAGGTTGCTCCAAAAATTTAGAACAGAGCCACCATATGATACAACTATTCCTCTTCTGAGTATCTGAAGAATACCAAAAAGACATACGCACCACTATGTTCCCTACTCACAATAGCCAAGTTATGGAAACAATGTAAGTGTCCATTGACAGATGAATGTATAAAGATGTGAGATATAGATATAGATACATTCATACACACACAGTGGAATACTACTCAGCTATAAAAAAGATAAAATCTTGCCTTTTGTGACAACATGGATACACTTTGAGGTGATTGTTCTAAGTGAAATAAGTCACATGGAGAAAGACAAATAACGTATGACTTCACTTATGTGTGGTAGATAAAGGAGCTAAAAAATCAAACAAGACAAAATAAAACAGAAGAGATCTTTATTTTTAGGAATATTATTTGGGTGCTCTGTCTTTTGAACTGTTGATTGACTCCCATGGTAGGTTATATTTACAAGGGTTGGGTTAATATTATCTAGATATATAGTTAATTAAATAGGGCGTGGGAGTGGATTCTTTCATTCTTTAAAAGCTATGTAATGAGATATAGGTACAAGTTTGCCAAAAGGTGGCAGCATTGATTCTAGCCTTAGCAGGTTATTTTGAGCAAGATTTCCCAAATGCTAACAACTATAGAAATCTAACACAAATTTAGACCGATTTGGATTACATTTGTGAGCTAATGACTTGATTTCTCTTCCTTCCCCAGAGAAATGTAAGATGACAATTCTTCCTTCCTGTTAGGTTTTCTACCATGAGTGAGTAGCTAGTGGAAAGAGGAGTGTTTTCCCTAACTGACTTCAAAAGAGGTATTTTTATGATGTTTCTGAGAACCCAGAAACAACTTATGCCTCAGTTTAACATATTCAAGATAAGGCATAGAGATAGGTTTACTCAGTTAAAAGATAGTGAGAGAAGACATCAACCTGGAATTTAAAAACCTGGGTTTTATCTCTAGCTCTAATACTGCAAATTATCACACTGGGTAAAATTGTATAAAGTATCCAGAAAGTTATTTATGGGAAGCTTCCCTTTTAGAGTCTATGTTTTGGCAAAAAATGTATATATTTCAGGATGATTATATCTGATTCACTGGCATACTAAAGACATGTATCTGTAACATCCTTGGGAATGACTCTTGGATAAAACTGCCTAATGGAGTCCTTTTTGGTAAACTTTAACTACCAATTCTTAAATTTTTCTCAAGCAGAATTAGTGGCACTTCATTTTATCACTGGAATGAGTACATATTTCCTCACCCTTTGTTATGATATTAAGACTACATGTGCTTTGCTAAATAGCTTATGAGAATCCAACTTATTTCTTTTTAGGAAAGAAAATAAATCTAAAAAGGTGTCTTTTTATAATGAAAATATGAAATATTTAGCTACTAAGGCACCAACAACATATTGTGTTATATAACTTCATTTTTATTGAGAACACACAATATTACTTTAAAATCCACATTTATTTTATTGATTGTGGCATAGTGAATCAAATACTCATTTTAATAATTAACTTTGAGGTAGTGGGAATTTCCCATTATAAACTTTGCTAGGTTTTCCTACTTCAGGACTAAACAAGTTTACTTAACCAAACCAAGCCAGAATTTGCTAGAAAATATGAAAACAGAATGAAGGCATCCCCAAAGAAAGTGTATACTAGAGAGTCATCATTCTTCTAAGGAGAATATTAATTATAAATTTATGAAAATTTTCCTCAGATACTAGATTCAGTTTATTAAGTTAACTAAAAAGCAAAGAAAATTAAAGTTCTTAATCAAGAAAGCGTAGGAAAAAATACTGATGATACAGTAATATTTTTTTTCCATTTTTACCATCTGTAACTTGGAGAATTTCATTTGCAGCTCACTATACTGGAAGAAAAAGATGGTTCTGGGCAAGCTATCACAAAGTCAGTCACTAAGATAAATCTACACTTCTTTAATTCTCTATGGCATTATCTTCTAATTAAAATGTTTCCTCTTCTTTCATGTCAGAAGACATCAAGTTAGCTAAACGTTATTCTAAAACCCACACTGATTTTGTTTCACAAATTGACAGAAAAGCAAAAAATTAAATGGATATTTTAATAAACCTTTTAAAATGTTAAATTATTGGTGAAATGAGGAATACTTAATAGTACTCTCTCATATTCAGAAATGAAATACTTTCCAGGCTCTGAGATCAAGAAGCAGTTTCCTCTGCTCTGTCCCATTGCCAGTCTTCACATCGGGAGGCAGTGTGCGATTTCTGTGGGAATCACAACCACCCAGTACACAGGTCTTGACGGGTAACAAGCTTTCCAAGTTCACTCTAAGAGTTCAAACTGGTTTGAAAAAATGCTGATGCTCAAGAGCAGCTAAAGCTAGGCTAATGACAATAATAAAGTAGGAAAGAAAAACATCATCACCATCAACAACAAAAAAAAATCTGGCACAAGCTGCTAGAAAATGTTGTATGTGCTAAAACAACAGAAGTCCCAAAAAAACGAACAGAAAAAAGAACTTTCCAAAGAGAAGAGAAAGCAGAGCAAGCCTTCATCTTGTAGCTATAACTTCTTTCACTGCAGATCTCAGTCAGTAATCAAATTATGACGTCACTCATCAAGAATGTCAAGAAGGGACAAACTGCCTCTCCAGGTGCATGGAATACAGAGAACTAAGCTGAAATCAAGCAAAAAACGTGGAATGTTTCCCATTCAGGACAGTAACCAAAGACAACTTTTCTTTTCTCACTTCACACCCTCCTTTCCTGAAGGCAATTCTTTGCTAACAAATTGACCTGTCACTTCTATTGAATAGCATCCTGCTAAAAGAGTGGATTCCCTAATAATAAAAAAATATATTTACAAATTTCCAGTATTACTTTTATCACAATCCAAATTTATTTCAAAATGTTAAAAAAAAAGGTCACTTGAAATACAAAAATGTAAAGAAAATACCTTCTGTTTTGTTAACTGTCCAGTTACTGTGCTGGGCAGTGATTGGGGGTGTCACAGATATGGCTGCCTCTTCAGTCAGTGCTGTCATTGCTGTGTGAAGGGGGAAAAGGCAGCTTTAGCAGGTGAGCCTCCTATGTACAAGCCACAGATGGAAAGTTACTCTCTTTACTCTCACTTCTGTTCTATTTTTTACACATTTACATTTGAAATTCATAGCCTGGTTAGGGAACTCCTAAGAGTTTCACATACATACCAATTCCTTTGACACTGTAATTCTAGGAAATAATTTTTAAGAGAATGTAAAGACATTTATATTCTAATTCAACCACAGGATATTACATAGTAGTTAATACGTATCAACTACTTTCCAATTGTATAATGCAAACATTTAAAGGTCTCAGAAAAAGAAGTCTTCTCACATCAAAAGAGGAACATAATATTATGTAAGAATTTACTAAATAAATAAATTCACAGATTCCTTGCTCTAATCTTTGTCATGACAAAAAAGTGTTAAAAGCCATTCTGAGAAAACAAATTCTATTCACACTTTACAATGATACCAAATTAACAAGACATGAAGAAGTTACTTACCATTGAATAAAAGATAGACTGACACTGGGATTCCCAAAGCCATTTCCTGCTCTTGTTAACCGTATCTTTTTCTTATCCTCCTCGCTGGACAGGTAGAAGGTTTTTATTGCGCTGCCTGAGCCTTTCTTGCATTTATATTTCACGAAGCGTCATCTGGCAGTTCTTACCAATCAAAAAAAAATGTACTTCTGGCAGCAGCATGAAGCCTGCAGGCGCTCACACACTTATTTAGGATACCTGTGTTATCTAGCAATGTGATCAGACTTTCTTTGGAAACACAGGTTTCCTGTTACCTGTGGGCATAATCATGTATGTAAAAGTATTTAAAATAACAACAAAAAATTGAATTCAGGAAACGACTCATGGTGTTAACAGAAATGTGCCAGCTCCAAAAATGCTAGGGATCTAGGAGCCAATATAGGTTATCAACAAGGGGTAGTTTTGATATTTGCCAACTAGGAGACAGCACAATCTGTTATTAAAAGAAACATCCCTGAAACTGCAGTCACACTATATTTCATTACAGATATGGTAAATCAAGATATTTCGTAATTTTGTGGCAGTGGAGAACAAATAAATTTGTGTAAAAACAAAGGTTTAATATTCCATTTCAGTTTTTGCTAATTAGTTTTACCATTATAAGTTCTATAAAAATCATTCTTTTTAATAGTATAACATTTACCTTTATGTCATTCTGCTATTTTTTTCTGGGTAAGCAGCATGGGCTACCAAATTCTAGTACGTACAATACCTAAATCTGTGCCCCAATGATTAGACTAGAGAGAACCAGTAAATTACTAAAACAGAAATGATGATGATGATGAAAGTTTCCATCAAGGTAAATGAAGATATTTAGATTTAGTACATCTAATAAGTAGAAAGTTTTAAATTTAACATAACATTCAAATCTTCACAGTTAACCTAGTTATGATTATTAAAGTGCCATTTTAAAAAATTAAACATGTAATTATTGTGACATTTTATAACTATTGGTACTTCCCATAAATTTTCACTTGCTCCAAATTGTTATAAATATTTATAAATATTTCTTGCTGATGTGTTATGACCTTTTATATGGAATTACAATTGCTCATACTTCCTGTACCTTAAAAATCTGTTTCAGTAAGTTAAAAGTGTCATTTACATCCTGTCCACTAGGCAAACACAATTTACCAGAAAGGATTCCTTTTACTATTCAAATACGAATTTGGCTGTAGAAATCACACAAGAGTGAGCTTGTTGAACTCATTATAATTTGGGCAATCACTTTCCACTGGAGTCATCATTTTTAAATTAAAAAAATATATAGCACTTGACTTACTTTAAATGTGTCTACATTTTGTATTTCTACTTTTGTGGCTTTTCAAAAATGAGACAATTTCTTGATAATATTTTCCCAGGCAAATAATATTCAAATTACAACTCAAATAATCATCTTAGGCATCACTGGTGAGAAATAAAGTATTATAAAATTAATTTACAATGAATTAAAGAAACCATCACTACCAATTGCAGCTTCTAGAGGAAGATGCTGGGATTAATCTTAAATATTTTTATTTCTAAGATCAGGCTAGAGTACAACAACCATCTTTGTAATAATTACCAACTGGTACTACTTGGCATTTTGCATAAGATTTTCATGCATATCTCAATGATTTCTTTAGTAATCCTAACTCCCCCCCCAAAAAAAAAACCTAGTGTCTGATATATAATAAATAGTCAGTGAGTCTGTCTTGAGTAAAGAAATAGAGTCAAGACTTGAACCCATGTTCCAAATCTTGATCTATTCTCTTAATTATCTCCTAAAACCAACCTTTAAATAAATTACCTTTGTCATGAGAATCTATTACATGAACTGTGGCTTTCACATACATTTAGGCTACAAGAAATGGACTGCTATCTCTCCAGATGTTGCTGCATTCTGGTGAACTGGGCTATATCATAGAGAAAGTGATCTGCCAGTTTAGCTAAAGGTTGATAGCAGAAAATGGTTCTAAGAGAACTTACATGCTTCTTTTTCTCTTGGACTCATACTGATAGATCTCACTCTCTCAATAGAAAATTCTCTTACCTTCCCTTTTTAAATCCTCTCATCAAAAATTTATTTTTCCAATCCTGAAGAATAGGGTAGCTTACAATAGTAAGGTGAACTCACTGATATCTTTATTCACTCTTGATGTACTTTAGAGAAACTTAGAATAAGAAAGGAGAAAGAATCTTAAGAGCTGAGCCACTCTGTCATCACTTTTCCATCCTATACTTTTTATGTATTCATTTCTCTCCTTTGAAATGTGTCCTTTCCCCTTCTTCTACCATCCCTTACTTTCCTCTTTATTTCTTCTTGCTCTTTCACTAAATCAAATTTTGTAGGCATTAACAACAGCTCATAGCTTCTCTCACAATAAACTTATTCTATAATTCTCATTAACTCAGTTGCATTTATCCATTCATTCGCATTGAATATCCACAACATCCATGGCCCTTGGATAAGTGCATTATTTGCAAGACAAATCATGCTTGGATTCTACCCTAAAGGAACTAAAGGGAACCAAGGAAAGCACATATCTAATTACAATACAGGGCAGGGCGTGATACCTGCTGTGAATATGGGCATAAACAGCTATGAGAACTCAGGGTGGGACCTGGTCAAACTCATAGTATTATTTATGGACAGGTTTCATTTGAAGTGAATCTTAAATTACAAGTAGAATTTAGAAATACAGTGATAACAGAAATGATTGGTGGGGTGGAGGTAGAGGGGGTTGGCGAGAATAGGCAGATTGGTGTAATGAAAAAAAGAGTGGGTTCCGGCTCACACAAGCCCAACCGACCTTGCTTTGAATTCCAAATCCAGTTTTATTTTCCATTTGGTCATGGCTGGGCCTTTTTAATAATCCCCAGGGTTGATTTCCTCTGTCAAATAGAGATTGTCAATAACCAAAAAAAGGGCTCAAAATTACAGCTTTTACCTTTTCCATTTACCTGTGTTTTGATCATTCTATTTGTTTTGGGAATGTGGGACCCTTAAAAATTAGAGACCTTTTCTGAAATCTTCACTCAGAAGTTTTGAATTTAAGCTTCTCTCAGGGTCCTCAGAAAAAGATAGGTATGAACTCATTGTTGAACAGACTGTAGAAACTTTTGCTTCGTGTTTGAGCGATTTACATATTTTTCTGCATGCCATAAAGAAAGGGATAACAAATATATATGAAAAAATGAGAAAGAAAACAGCCATCCTTCAAATTGCCTTTATTATACAGTTGAATTATTAATTATAAACATCTAGTGTATTTCATACACACAATCAAAAGTACACACTAATAAAGACATGCCATGGGGTAAGGGTCATTATTAGTATAGAATACTTGGTTTTGGACATTAAAACAATGTAATTATATGGCTAGAACAGTCTCACAATTGCCTTCAACTGACATCCACATGTATTTCCTATTTTAAGCTATGTTAGAAACACGGCATCTAGTTTGAGAACCAACTGCCACAACAAAAGAGGGAAGAACTGTGAATAATAAAGCAGTAGATTTTCAGTCATGTCCTAAGGCTTAGCTTTGGCACACTGGCTCAAGATTTCCAAATTTGTGGAAACATAAGGCTTCTTTAATAAAGGCCTCACTTCATCTGATATATTTTTTGAGTATTTGTACAAAAACACAACCTTAGCTTTTGTGCTGTGTATTTGTTGGGGGTTTTACATTATTCCTCACTAAGATATTATCTAAAAACTTTTCTGGAACAGCAAAATTACATGTAAACCTAATAAATTCTCATTATAGTTTTACTATTGCAAGTAAATCATTCACAATTTGCAATGATCAATATCTTTCAAGTAGCACTGCATTCTGTTTGCCTTCCTTGTATATTTTTCTTTCCTTGAGTAGAGCATCATTCCTCATGTCTCACAGGCCACAGATGGGAGATTTATGAGATCCAGATTCTATTTTTAAATCTTCTCTTTTAGCAAATAATCACTTTCAACATATACTAAAGAACATAAAACACATAAGCATGCTTAAGACACAACCTAAATCACGCTTTATGTGGGTGCCCATTTGAATGACAAAAATCTGTTGAAAACATACTGTGATATTTAATTCTGTCAAAAATACATTCATTTATTATGAGCCCTTTTGCTTGAAACTTATGAACAAATACTATTCACAAACAATTGTTAACAAAGTTTTCATTGAAATTGTTTTGTTTTTTCGTAAAACTCAAAGTTTATTAGCAGGAAATGCACAGAGTTGTATGAATCATCTGATCCACAATGATTCCATCCATGAAAAAATAAATACAATGTAGAAATAAATAGCTTTGTAGTAAAATATAAAGGTTTTTGCCCTTTGTCAAATAAATAAATACAATGACTTCGGTTGCTTTATTCTCTCACGTGATCTAGAAAATGACTTTTTTGGCAGCCAGAAGGGTGTTCCTCAGGAGCATCAGCACTGTCATGGGCCCGACACCCCCGGGAACTGGAGTGATAAAACCAGCTTTTTTCTTAACAGCTGAGGGAGGAAGCACAATATTCTTAATTTTTAATTTTTCTGATAATTTCAGATTTTTAAACATACTCAACTGTAAAAGAGAAACTGAGACATATCCATTTGATCTATTTGAATGAGCACTGATCCATTTGAATGAGGTATCTCTAAATAGGAAATGTTCAGGGGTGCTCCACTGGACAGGTGCTAGAGGTAAGTTTTATGTGGAAAAGGCAAAAGAAAAACAAGGAAATTATTGGTTGACTATAGCTTAAACCTCATTTGGCTGTGATATGTTGATCTTGGGTTTTGCTTTGCTTTGTTTCATTGAGGTAACATTGATTTATGTCATTACTGGTATTTTGGAAGTACAGGAACCCTCTTCAAATTTCATTCCCATAGTGCACCCACCACCAAATCATCCATGTCCACCACCATAGTCCATTGTTTTCCCTCCCTTCTTGTCCTCACCCTATCTGAACCCTCTCCTGCTCAGGATGCTTCCAGTTCCATGGTCAGCTTTCAAGTGTTAGTTTTCAAGCTTACTCCTGGGTATTGATTTTGAAACCTTCACTCATTTTAAGGCTTCAATTTTGGTTTGCTTCCATTAGAGCCACATCAGTCTAAGGTGACATTTTTAGTTTAACAGACAATAGTGGACTTTCCACACTACATATATAACTCTATAATCCCAAATCATTTTTAAAATGACATAGACCATAACACACACACATGTTTATATCTGATGTGAACAGAAAGAACAAAATGAGGCTAACACAGTAAGCTGAATCTCTGTGCAACTCAGTTTTAAAGGATGAAGTTCTATAATCTGTGATTTAACCAACTAACTGTAATTCCAGTTAACTGCATCAAAGCTATATGATGTTGGCTGTCAAGTGAAGACAGGATATAAAGACATTTTGGCACAAACTATTTGTTCAATTGGAATATTCTTATAACAATAGCATCATGTATGTGTGGATAATACATTCCAATGCAAGACTGAAACAAATCATTACACATATTTGAATGACTGGGAATATACACATGTACCTGTTCCAAGATAGGAAGACTTCTTAGTTAGTGAATATGCTCAATGAAAACCTTCAGCAAGTTTCACTTAAGGTTTTCACACTATAATATTACAGGTGAATAACTCCCTGCAATATTGGATGAGTTGGGGTGGGTTGAGTACTTCACCATGTGAAGAACAATAAAGTTTTCCCAGGTAGACTTTGTTTTACAAAGTTAGCCTAGACAATACATTTTTAGTGCATAATCTGATGTTACTATCATATTATTTAGATGTATTGCTTTTTACAAGTTTGCTCATGCACACTTCTACATGAATCAGAATCTACAAACCTACAGTTATTTCTTAGATCTTAAATATTATTTTTGTATACTTTATATTGCCTTCTTGAAATATGGTTTATAAAGTTTATGTTGACTGAAATATGATTTGTAAAATTTATGTTTATTGAAACACGGTTTGTAAAATTTATGTTTACCTTATTTGAAGTGTAGTAGTTAGTGCATGGCAATAAATATTTTTAAATCATGGGAAAACAAACATTCTTTGACTTAAATAAATAAGCTTTAAGATATAACAAAAATTCCAGCTATGAATGAATCTTCTCATGGCATGTAATGAGAAAAAAAAAATCAAATATTTAGAAGGTAATCTTTAAGTTTTTGAAAAGCCTCAATACACATTCCTTTACCACATGCATCCAACATACTCTGTGCTGGATAAATACTACACTAAGTCATGAATATCAAAAGCTATGAACTACCAGATTTTCCCTTTGTTCTAGTTATTTTCTCGATCTGGAATGCTGCTACCTATAAGAATAAGAAATGTCTTGTCAGTCTTTAAAAATTAACAAAATGTTACCCATTTATAAACAGTTCTCTCAAAAAGTTATCCTTACAAACTCCAATGAAAAGTTCTACCATTAATGTTTCAGAAACTTTATTCTTAAGTCCACATGGGACTGAGCATGTTGCTCTGTCTGTTCCCTTAACTAGACACCAGTACCTAGAAAGCAAAAACCAGAACTTGTGGTGCTTTTAGTTATTATTTCCAATCTTAGAATTTCTCCATCCACAGGGTAGAATTCACTAAATTTTGGTAAAGTAAACTAAATAGCTCTTAGAATTTAAAATCTAAATCAAGTTGCCAAAATGTACTCCTGTGCTTTAGTCTGGATGCAAACATCAGGTCAATTTTGTTCAAGTTAATGTACTGAAAACTATAAACTACTTATTTTGCTTAAGAGTAACAAGCGCATTTTTCACTTTTCAATAAACTGACTTGCTAGTATCAGGAACACTTTCCAGAACTTTTTCTTTAGGATTGGGGGAGTAACGCCTATAAAAATGTCAGCAGGCTGCTAGAAGAAATGTACTATACTATACTATCCACATTGATATAAAAACTGGGGCCTCCCTGGTGGCACAATGGGTTAAGATGCAACCTCCAAAGCTATTCACAGCCACTGCAGCATGCATTAGATCCCCAGCCAGACCTCCTGATTCACCTCCTGCTCCCCTCAGCAGTGTATTTCAGTCAATCTGCCTGTTCTGTTCCCCACTCTGTCTCTGGTGAATCCTCTCACCCCCCCACACCTCTGGCCTGTACCCCAGTTCTTATATGCATAAATAAATAAATCGCTAAAAAAACCCACATATTTGCCAAGCACTATGAAATATTAATAGATAAAAATAGAAGGCCACTGAATAATGTGGTTAATTAAAAATTAAGTACAAACTTCAATGAAAAACAAAAGGTTTTAGTCCATAACCAAAAGGTGGATAAAATTGGCTGTATCAGAATATGTATTGTGGGTATTTAATCATTTCTATATAATTTGGCTTTCAACTTTGAGATGAAGTGACTTAGAATTAGGTGCATAAGGATAAATAGTAAAAATCATAGTTTCTATCACTTAAGTACCCAATTACCTGCCAAGAACTTTATATGTTATTTGAATAATTTGTACTTAATTATTGTTGCATTTTGGTAGACAAGGAAAGTGTGGCTCATTGAGGTGACAGTGACTTACCACTCTCCTACATGACAGAGACATAATTCACAGCCAGGTCTGAAACATTCTAAATTTCCATAATACCACCCACAATAATACAACTTTATATGACCAGGACAAATAAAAAAGTTCCCAAAAGGCTAATGTGGCAAAAATTAACTCACTGTTCTCAAGGGGTTAGAAGCATATTCTGAAAAAAAGCAGCAAAGTGGACAAAGTTCTAATATGTAATTTTCCTCCATTTTTACAACGTGTACTCATAGCTCATCATCGTTGAATCACACCCAGCACTTCAAATTACACAGCAGGCTTAGCAGTAGGAGTTGCTTTATTCCTGAGTGTCAGATCAGATAAACCACTGTTCTACTCATTGACCCTCCTCTTCCAAATTATGTTTTTCTCAACATGCTTATTGTTGCATATTTTTGGCTCAAAAAGTAGGGTTTGGATTGAGAAAGAGTGAATGGGAATGAGCAATCGCATGAAATAAAACCTGCCTGAAATGTGTAGCTCAGTGTCTGCATTTTTGCACACTTTACTGGTAGAAACTAACACGTATTTATCTTGTCCTGCCCATCACTTCATAGTCTTAGACTATGTGATAGGTAATGGTTCTTCATCTGATCTAGGCACTCATAAACATTTAGTTGCATCAATGGAATCTTGTTAATTACTCACTAGGCAGAAGTTTATGATATCACTGTGAACACACCTGGTTATTCAAATATACGTTTCAAATATTTTTATCTTTGAAGTAAACTAGGCAGATGTGAAAATTAAGTTTGCACACATTCATGAGAAGCAGACTGAAGAATCTGATTTAAAAACACTTAAGGTCTCTATTACTTTTGCATCTGTGTCTGAGAGAGAACTTTAAGTTTATCTACAGCTAGTTAGTATTAATATATTACTATTTGTCTATGTACAAAAGGAATCAGGATATGGAAGTAATTTTTAAAGAACGTGAGGAATTACCATTGGCTGAAGCCAATGGGCACAGATGCCAATGCTTAAAAAGAAATTCCCTAGTCTAATGATTTGGTGTAACTTTTCAGGGCTGTCTTAAGCAGTGTGTTTTTGAAGTACTGGAAGTGACATATGAGCTAAAATTGGACAGCACGATGGACTATGGAGGTGGACTATGGGTGCGTTGATGGTAGGTCTACTATGGTGACTGCACCTAAAGTGGGAGATTCTATACTCCCAGATACTAGCCATGTGTAAGCCAAAGGCATTTTAATAAATTAATAAAACTGAAAGCTAGTGATCTCAAAAAGAGTTAAATTCTACACATAGTTGATCCTCTGTAAAACATCTTCCCCAATCATGACTGGAGGAGAGTAAGTTAACAAGCATTACATCACCCAATTAACCTCTCATTGAGGACAGACAAAGGTTTGAATGTCACTTCCAGCACCTATTAACTCCCCAGGCTGAGTTAACTCTCATTCTTTGATTCATGAAACTTAGTAGAGTGATTTTCAATTTGTAGATGCAGAGTATGTTGGAATCTCCTGAGAAATGTAATCAACTATGTAAGCCTCCTTCCACCTCAAGATTCCAGTGTTCATCACTGAGAATGACCGTTGAAGTTAAGAGGTGTTTGCAATGACAGGGAGGAGTGTGTTATATATCAACAGCATGGAGCATTATATTTATTTATTTTAAAGATTTATTTATTTATGCATAGAAGAACTGGGGTACAGGCCATAGGTATGGGGGGGTGAGAGGATTCACCAGAGACGGAGTGGGGAACAGAACAGGCAGATTGACCGAAGTACACTGCTGAGAGGAGCAGTGGGTGAGACAGGAGAGGTCTGCTGTGCCATGTGGGTACCCACATGGCCGGCTGGGGATCGAACTCATGTTGCAGAGGCTGCAGACAGCTTCACAGTGCTGTGCTTAACCCCTTGTGCCACCAAGGAGGCCCATGGAGGCATTTTAAAACACAGTTGAAATTCCATTCTTCAGTAA